GGGCTGGCTTACAGTTTTCAGAGGCTTAGCCCGTTTTCATCATGATGGGAAGTATGGCGGCGTGCACGAAGTCATGGTTCTGGAGGAGGGGCTGAGAGTTTCGCATTCAGGTCGGAAGGCTTCAGGAAGAGAACTGAGAGACACTGAGACTTCAGAGCCCACCCCTAGTGACACACTTCCTCCAACAAGGCCCCACCTCCTAACAGTACCACTCCCTATGGACCTATGGGGCCATTTTCACTGAAACCGCCACCACCACCACAGGAATCATGTCCGAAAGCCTGACAGACATTTGCTGAGACTAACTTGGATCTCTGTAGACCCTGATGTCGTTCATTTGTTCCGTAATAGTGACTTGTTAATTCTACGCTATGTACCAAGCTCTACATCACGCGCCAGGAGTACAGAAACCTGCTCCTTCACACTTTGAAATTTACAGCCTCGGTGTCTCTTATTCTGCAATCTGCTGACCAGACTCTACCCCTAAAGGAGAGTGTCTGGGCTGTGAGTAGCCCAAATGTCAGACCTCAGTGTTTCTGCTAAGATGAGTTTTTGGTATCAGCTCAGGTCACAGGCGCAGAGCCACACAGAGGAGGCCATGTCTGAAGGGACCGTGTTTGGGTTCAGCAGAGTCTGAATGAACAGTCTTTTCCTTGGGTGCGAGTTATTTCCTAAGTATGTGGCTCTACTAAAAGTGACACTGGGTGGGTGTGCTCACTGCCCCGCAGAGGCTCCAAAGTGTGTCTGAAGGGAATCTCAGAGCAAAGGACAGCAGAACAGTCTCCGGATTGGCTTAGGCTGTTGTCCTGTGTCTTCACCTTGCAGGCAAGAGGGGCTCTTCTAATTTCAGAGGTGAAATCTGAGACTTAAGAATTATTTACATTCTGGGGGCAGCTTCATGTCTTCAATTCTATCACTTGTGAGGCAGAGGCAGATGGATCTCTGTGAGTTCGAGTCCAGCCTGGTCTGTATTGCTAGCTTCAGGTCAGCTAGGAATACACAGTGAGACCCTGTGTCAAACAAAACAAAACCAGATGTTTGAGAAGCACAGGTGCATTTCCTAACACGACAAGGAAAGATCCTGTCCCTGATAATGGATGGCTCCACTCAACTCCCTGCTGTCACAAAACAAGTAGGACTGCCTTGTAGAAAATGTAAAGGAACGGAGCATGAATCGCTCACATTTCTACCACCAATGAGTCATCACTATTAGCATTTCTCCCGTAGTTTGTAAACCCGTTCATCTTTTCAAACTAAAATTCTATCCTGTATATTATTTTCTAACCTGCAATTTCCTCAGCAAACGTGTGTTATGAATCTCTTTTCCTATTATTCTATGCTCTAAGACATCCGCTGTTAAAAATGGAACATCTTTTACTTATTCTTTGACATTTTCCTATGTGTAAACAATGCATCTGGATCATCGGGCTCCCCTTTTACGGTCTTCCAGAAACCCCCTACTCTCCCTGTTACCCAGGAGTTACCGACATAGCCCCCCCCCCCCAAATAGCCTCTTAGTCTCTGCTCATAGTTCACAAAGTCCAATTAGAGCTGCCTGTTGAAATGTTGGCTGATCTTGTGCAGGTGACAATGGCTGCAGTGGCCATGAAGGGTCTCAAGGGCAGCGGTCCACAGCACTCTTATCCTGGGGATCTTAGCTGTCTTTCAGCTCCTCTTCCTTGATATGATTCCCTTCCGGGTCGTATGTTCTGTGGTGTGCACACTTACTTGATTGGAAGTTTGGGTTGTTTCTCATCTCCTTACAAAAACAATTTGCCTTTAATTTTGGAAGATCTCTGTTTCGGTGACGGAGAGATGGCTCAGTGGTTAAAAATGCTGGCTGCTCTTCCAGGGGAGCTGGGCTTGAGTCCCAGCATCCACGTGGCAGCTCACATCCTTTCTTCTGGTCTCCTTGGGTACCAAGTACACTCATGATGGACAGACAAACATGCAGGCAAACACATGCATACGTATTAATATAAATAAATACTTTAAAAATGTGTCTTGAATCGGTCTGAGACCCAGTCTTGGGGAGAGCAGGGCTCTTGGGAGAGACTGGGAAGTCAGAAGATGAAAGACACCCACTCCTATCTGGTCTGACCAATCACATTAACCACTGCTGACTCTGTTTCCCTTTGGTGAGATGGTAGTCGGTCATAAGCCACACAGCTCCCCAAACCGTGCAGATCCTCCCTCCAGTCTTTGGGAATCAGGGCAAAGTGTTGATATGGAAGCCGCGCTGCTGGGAAAGGAATCTTGGCTTTCCTTCCTCCCTCCCCTCTTCGCCACCGCCCCCCCTCCTTTGTGAGATCTCTTTAAAGCTTCCTCCATGCCAGTCGTGGTGGTGCACACCTTTAATCTCACCACCTAGGAGGCAGAAGCGGGCTGCTGTCTGTGAGTTCAAGGCCTGGGTTTATAGAGGCCTGGGACGAGAGGCAGCGCAGCCGTGTAGTTGACCAAATAACTACTGTGTCTTAGAAGCAAACACATGGGTACTGCCCATCACCTCCGAGCTTGTATGGCCTTGGTCAGTTTATCTAACCTCCTCAAGACTCATTTTTCTTGTCTGTATATTTCCACATAGGGTTACCCCTATCTGAAGGGTGATCAATACCAGAATCAATGAACTAACAAGTTGCTGGTGAAGACACCACCCCCATCAAAAGCAGCCTTTGTCCTGAGAGGCGGGGCTTTCTAAGACACACCTCAAGCTGAGAGGATTCTGCACAGGTGATGGATGAGTCGATGCCAAGGCATATACACACCAGCCTAAGGATCAACGTAACCCTTCCTGCAGGACTGCTGCTCCATATGGTATCGGAACCCCAGCCGTCCTGGAAAAAAGGCTCCTAAAGCTGATATTACCTAGCTGGCTTCCAGTTCATTTTCTCCTCTTCACCTTCTTCCTTAGGCCCTTTCTCCTTTAAACAAAAACAATTATATGAAGTTACAAACAACCCTCCCAAAACAAGACTACCAAACTTGCATTTTTTCCCCCCAGATAATACAAAACATCAAAATTCAACATCCAAATGAACTAAGGGAGTGAATTCCTCCTCCTCGTCTTCATTTTTACTTTTTTTCCTTTCGGCTTTATAATATATTTATTTTCGAAGGACAAAACACTCAGAGAGTTTAAATATAAGTCGGAAAGGGTTGTTGTCAGTCAGTGGTGGCCCCATGGTGCTTTTCCAGCCCTGGCTTCTCTAGGGGCTCTTCCCACGAGGCGATGGCCCTGTGCCTTCACACGCATCCTCCTCAACTGCGAGCAATCTGCGCTTTTCTCTTCTTTTGGTGAACACATTCACTTTGCCACATCATTTGCCTCCCATGGCCATAATAATTTCCATTTGAGTCAAGCTGGCTAAGCCCAGGTCTCTCATAAAATGGAAAGCCATGAGAGCTTTCGTGGCCAGTCTTGTCAGGGAGTCTCACTGACTCAGCCTTTGACCACACTATTGTAACTTGAGTTTTTTTTTTTCCAGCTTGGTCCCCCAGCTGATTTGCCCCAAATAAGCACACAAAGACTTGCAATGATTATTAAACTGTTGGCCTATGGCGAGGGCTTCTTATTGGTTAGCTCTCTCTTAATTGTTAACCCATAACTACTAATCTATGTGTTTCTACATGGCCTTGTCTTACCAGAGAACGCCTGGTGCGTCCTATGTTCCTGGTCTCCACACGGTGCCCTTGAGGAGCCTCTCTGCCTCTCTCCTCAGCATCCGTCTCGTCTCCTCGTCCCGCCTGTCTCCCCGCCTGTATTGGCCAAACAGTGTTTTATTCATCAACCAATCAGAGGAACATATACAGAAGGACACCCCCCATCACAGTACACTGTCAGTACAAATGTGTGACTCTTTATGGTCCCCAGCAGAAATGGGAACTGCCATCCGAGCTGGGCCAGGGCCAGTGTGGGAATTAACCTGAGGCAGAGCAGGACATCATGGACACAGGCAGAGAGGACACATGTGGCCCAGGGAATAACTTCTTTCTCAGTGTGCATAATGTTTTGCCTTTAAAAACATCAGCTTTCCATACCTACTTAATTGATGAGACAAATTTATTTCAGACTGCTTATCCATTCCGACAAACTCCTAGTTGAAGTTCCTTTTTTACTTTTTGTATTCTCAGTAACTGGTAAGCGGTGACATAGACCTTCCCAATTTGCTTAGCTGATGACCCGGACTGGCTGAGAAAGCCTGCTGCCCATTCCTACAAGGAAGCCTGTATTTGGGGCAGATCCCAGGTCCCCAGAGTGAGTGAAGTCGACACCAGAAAACCTTGCTTCACTTCCTAGAAAGAAGGGAGAGAAAAGGCCCCTTGGTTGGTATGAATTTTTTTAGTGGAAAGGCAGTGTTTGAAGGAGAGACGACAGTTCCTTCCCACGTGAGGCTCCTTCCCCATGCAGGACCCAAGCCCGTCTGGGCGTGGAGAAGCACTTATGTATGCGCGCGCACACAGATGTGGAGCTGTGTGGCGTTAAACACGGGAGGGGCAGCTTTAGAGCTGACAGGTACAGCCATAGTGTGTCATCCTCAAAGGCACACTCCTGCGATAGATAACACACCAGTTTTCTGCAATAACCGGCTGTCGGCATTGTTCTCTTTTATTTTTCGCCCAAAGCCAAACATTGGCCTTGTCAGATCACTACAGTCTTATAAGCCTGGTGTGGTCCTCACTGCTGCAGGACTGGGACAAAGAGATGATGTTACAGTCTGGTTTCTATGGCAACAGAGGAGGAGTAATGAAAACTGAAATGTAGGGAACACCCATTCTGACAATTGTGACATAATTCAGTTTATTACAAGGAAGTAACTATCCAAGAAGCAGAAGTGTCATTGCCTGGCAGCTCGTGTGGACAAAAAGCTGCACTGTGAATTTGTCTTAGTTGGGCTGTAAAGAGGAAAGAAACACCACACACACACACACACACACACACACACACACACACACACACACACACGAGTCCTCGCTTTCTGCATGTAAAATGTGTGTGTTCTTTAGAAGCCAGTGGTTGGCTGGTTTTCCGGACATGATGTGGTTGGAGCTGTCATCGTAATGGAAATTCACTGCCGTAGCTATGGTAAATCGAGTGTTCTGCCTGTGCTGAATGCATTAGTCTAATGAGATGTTTGCAGCGGCGAGCAGGGCTGTTGGAGACTAGCTGTGAGCAGTAGCACACGGCTGGAAGGTAGCGTGTGCAATCCTCGGGTGCACGTGCAGGATATTACCTGTCTTCCAAGTCAACACTCCCGACCCGATCAACACCCTGATCAGGGCTCTGTGATTGATCAAGCTGTAGGTAAGGGAGATGCACGTTGGAGGGTGTGCCTTCTCTTTGGGCAGTCAGCACAACAGGTTACCTGCTTTAGTTTATTTGGGAGGGTTTGCATGCCTGCCTCCATGGCAATGCACAAGTGTCTAGTGCTAAGACTAAGCCCAGTGGGTAAACTTCACATCTGAAAATGAAAAATACAATGTTTGATTTCTTGACTATATCTCAAAGGAAGATGTAGTGTAGGGATATGCAGTTCATGCTTTTCATATGTACACACTGCTCTCTATTGATGCATATAAAGTGCAAGATTTTTTAATTTTTCAAACATGAACTCAGATAACTGTTTGGATTTCCCCCCCCAGTAATAATTTAGCTTGGCTTGGCTTTGTTTTATTAATTAAAAAACTGTAGTATGTTTTAGGTTACAAATATTTACCTAAAATTTGTTTTTTTAAATTGGTGTGTTATAAACACACGTTAAGGCATTTGTTTTACAGTTGAATTTTACTTATTTATTTTGAATGTTTCAGGTGGAATATTCCATGTCTTTGTGTTGTTGGTTGCTAATTTACCAGTCATAGCTGAGGATAGGTATTAATTGCTAGTTGTCACTATCAGTTTTTATTAGGGGGAGAAAAATCTCAGGTTAGTTTGGAATGGTTAGAGGTTTCCCAAAACTCAAAGACCAAGTCACCTCTTTTCCAGCCCTGAACGGGCTTCCACTTGTTTTCCTGCAGCCCAAAGCGTCACCGGAAGGGGCAGAGGGTGAGGCGGTCTTGCAAGCTGCAGAGTACACACTTTCCTCATCACTGATGTGTTTGCGTCCAAGATCTTTCCGTTATCTGTGAAGACAAACCTGAGGTGGCTTTGCTGTGTTGTCTTTCTAGGGCCATGACATTTCCTAACCCAAGAGGGTTAGACCGTCAGTTCTCTGACAAAGTGGCTTTTGTCGAAAAAGTAGTCCGGGCGCGCCAGAACAGACACATCGTATTCGCTGTGCGCACTGTGTTATTAATTCTTCTCCCAGTTAAGGGACAGTTTCTTGAAGGAGTAAGAGACGTAGTTACCTTTCCCTCGTCAAGACTTTCTTCCCGTGACCTGGATATGGTGATTCCTGGGACATTGTGTATGTGCTGCTTGCTAGAGATGCTAATCTAGTTACTGTTTCAACAACAGCTACTGGGTGACAGTTACCTAGAAAACCAGCGTTGAGTGACATCAGAACCCATGCACAGAAGCTGCCTGGTGGCTCTACAATCTACTTTTAAAATATAGTTGTCAACTGTTTTTAAAACATGGATTTTGTTTGTTTGTTTGTTTGTTTGTTTTTTCCTGTTGCTCTAAAGATGGTGTATATGGGGGAAGCTCCTCCGAGGATCTGTCTGTCCAATTTGTAGTATGACAAAAAGGAATAAAATTTCCCCACAACCCCCCCCAAATTTAGTTAGTTGTTTGCCACATTTAAATTTCTCACCATGATTACTTTTATTTTATTCTGAAAGGATGTATAGTAAGACAGGAAAACCAACAGGCGAGAACCCCTTCCTGAACATCTTTAACTGCCCTGGTGCCGTCTGTGTGTGTGTCCCCCCTCTCCCTCACCCCCCCCTCCCCACAGGAGAAACCAGCTGTAGTTTCATTTTCTGGTTCTGGTTGTGGGGGTGAGGGCTGGAGGTCATAGGTATCAGCTTCTGGGAAACAAGCCAAACCCAGATGCAGTCACTCCCCTGACTCCTTTGACAAATCAAACAAGCAAGGACTTTAAATATATTCAATACTGCTTGCTTGTGATAAAAATTCTAACAACACCAGAAAGGACAAAGATACAAGTGTAACTTTTTTCAAAATTGAATTTTGTTTTTTTTTTTACTAAATGGTGGAACTGAACTGCCCTAAACCTTTTATAATGTGGTGGCTTTCATTGTTTCTTTTAAATCTTAATGTTCGGTCTCAAATGTGTGTTTGCAGTAAGTTTAAGGAAATATAACAAGGAATTCTCTTTTTAGAATAACTTCTCTGTTGGAACCCTGGGGTGTTGGACACAAATTTTGCAAGCCCCAAGGGGTTTTCTTCCCCCCCCCCCCCACACACATCCCTTGTGACACACACTTTGGAACAGCATTGGTTATGGGCAGGTGAAGGTCCTTTATTTTTCCCTAAGTTGGTACCTCTGCAAGCTTCAGCATCCCCGGGTCTCAGGTAACTAACTGTGTGCTCCTTGGGATTTAGAATTCCAACCTCCTCCTGTTTCATTCCCTTAGATTTTGTTTGAGAATGGAATTTGGAATGAAGATGAAGACATACCCTCATCCAATCTAGTCATCGAAACCTTCAAAATCCCTCTCCTATTTCAGGAGTGGTGTTTAAGAGGGTAGTCTTCCTTCAGGATGAGCACACAGGCTTCTTTCTATTGATGGGCAAATTCAGTATTTCTGAGAGCTTTTGAAAAAAAGCTTCCTGGCATATTTTATGTCTTAATCCCGAAGCCTTCCAAAAGACTTTGAGATTTTCACATTTCTCCTCCTTTAAAAATGCTTCTGTTGCTTTCAAAGACAGGTGAGGGGATTCAAATGGTCCCTGGGAGGAAGAAAAATCAGATGGTGTGGTACAAATATAATGTAACAGAAGCCGCCAGGGTGTCTAGTAAATTACTCTAAATTTTAATTAATGAGACACAAAAGCCATACTACAGGCTTTAAAAATTACCCTTTTATCAATAAGGTGATAATTAACTTTCTCTAGAATTAGCGATTCTCTGTGCCCCGGGCAGTGCGCCGCCTGCTAAGTTCTTTGGAACGCTGCCAATTTTTAACAATTGGTCTTTGGCAAACCTAGTGGTTTCTAATTCAACATCTATTGTGGTATTTTCAGTTGTGGCTCAAAGACCATTAGGATCACTCAAATCCTGGCGAAATTTCTGAGACCCAGAGTAGCTCAGAGTGTTTGGGTTGCGTTTGAATTGGTTACTTTCTTTTTCTTCATCCCCCCCCCTCCGTTCCCACCTTTTTCTCCCCAAATCCCAGTGTCTGCAGGGGTGCAGTCTTCTAGCTGCTGGCTGCTGGGAGCCTTTGGGACAATCTGGTTCGCAGGCGCTAGCTGGTTCGCAGGCGCCAGCTTCATTGCTGGGGTTTATTTTAACTCAGATTCGGTTCTGGCAAGCGGTGTGTCCCTCTGAATTCCACCAAGCTTTTACTGGTGGGTCATCAGATGCAAAGATTTAGATGGAGACTTGGGGGAAGCTGGAGCTGGAGACATTTTTTGATTGTGTCTAGAGGTTTGCAATTTATCGGATTTACCCAAAGTGATTGTTACGGGGTGTGCGGGGCGTGGGGCACAAGAAACTAGCAACTCACATCTCAGAGGCGTCTGGGCGGCAGAACTACTACACTCACATAACACATCACACATCACATCATACTACTCTCTCTCTCTCTCTCTCTCTCTCTCAGGCTGGGATGCTAGCATTAAGGTCTAGGCAGGCAGTTCCCACTAAGACAAGTATGCCCTTGCCTCCAGTCAAGTGTGCATTCTGGAACAAATCAGCTCCTTGCAACCAGGAGGGTCCTCTAGCCACAGCTAAGGAGACAATACTCCTCACGTTATAGGGAGGTTACAGCTTGGGTTACTCCTTCTAGGAAGAAAAAAACTTATCACTCAGGGGCAGTCCCGAGTTTGTACTAAGCTAAAAAAGTCATGCCACAGAGTCCCGGTGACACCCAGAAGCCCTGGGATTGTGTCTTTGGCTTTCCAAGCAAGCCTCTCTGGTGTAGCTTCTGTTGCCGATGGTCACTGCAGCATCACCGGAAATTCGGTGGCAATTCCTCGGGCACGGCCGTTCAGGAAGTTTTATTTATGACGTACGTACACATGTGAAAGTGGTGTTCCGGCAGCTGCGTCTGTCGGTCAGATAACTGGACTTAGTTATCTGCTGGGAACGTTTGAGATCCAGTGTGCATCCATCCCTGCTTCCGGACTCCTGGAAGGAGGAGGAACGGCCTTGCTTCCTGCACAAGTCTCAACCGTGCAGGGAGGCACAGCGTGGGCTGTTGGGCATGCCAGGGCAAACCAGCGCCTGCCCTGCTTTGAAAGGAGGCAATGCTGGCCGCCCAGGCCCCTGATATCACGACTCAGCTTCAGAGAGCTGAGTAATTTGACAACAAAAGCTTTTCCCTTTCTCTATACCTATGCTGACTGATTTATATAGCAGAGAGCTCATTGGTTCAAAACGGATACACATGGCTTGAAAGTCATACAGAAAGTTCATAAAGGGACAGATGTGAGTGAGGCACAGCCAAGGACTGTCCCGGGTTAGCGGGGACTGTCCCCAGAACCTGGGGAAGGAGCACAAAAAAGATCCAGCTAGCGAGGTGGCCTATGGCTCTCAGCTGGCCGAGCACGGAGCGCGTTCCTTCAGGTAGAAGGAAGGCTTCCCTCTTTTTTTTTTTTTTTTCTCTCATCCCAGGATATCATGTCTATAATGAGAAAACCAGGGTTGAACACAAGATGTGTTTCTGCTGACTAGCCTCTAGGCACGCGTGCTCTCAGAGCGGCTGTATCTGGGGCTCTGCCTGCCACGGCACTGGCCTTGAAGCCAGCCTGGGATGGCCTCAGGATTTGAGTTCTGTTTTGCCTGGCAGGCTATGCCTTGGTGAGCACGGAACAGCAGAGCTGGGGAGGAAACACGTGGTAGAAGTCAGCTGTGGAGACTCATGCTTTTGATTTTGGAAAGGAGATGAGAAGTTTATGCAATTGAAACATCCCTTTGGGCCTAACCCTTTCTGGGCTGTCACCACATCTGGTGCGAGACCCACTCTGTGTGTGTATATGTATGTGTATGCACATGCATGCCTAAGTGCACTTGTGTTTTGTACAAGTCAGAAGTTGCTATCAGGTGACTCCCTCAATAGCTGCCTATCTTAAGTTGTGAGACAGGGTCTCTCATGACCCAGGACCTCGCTGATTATCTAGGCTGGTTGACCAGTAGGCCCCCAGCAGTCTCCAGTCTCTGTTTCCCTAGTGCTGGG